CGATGAACTGAACTTGACGTTTCGATGTGTCGCTTCCAAGGCATTGTGATACTCTTTTTATTACTACCTATATTCAATAAAAGTGGGAACGTCATTCAGTTTCAGTTTCATTGTTAACAGCAGGTTACATTAGCGCACCGGAAGCATGTGTGCGAATAGAGGTTTTATAGTAGCTCACATACCGGACTCACACCCTGCTCGGGGATCATGTGGTCCGTGTTACAAGTCCGGCCGTTACAAATTGGTCTGGGATCAGCTTGTAAATAATCTACTGCAACTATACACCGCACAAACAAACTACAAGAGGTTTCATAAAATAGAAATACAAGGTGGCGTTTATCACGCCATTAATTTATTCAAACCCTTTTGTTACCTGTTATAGCTCCAAACAGAAACAACAAATGCTTTGTCTCTCGACGCAACTCGCCCTGGTTATGTAAATGTTTTCCCTTACCATCAGGCTCCAAGCCAGAACAAATGACAAATTTTTTTCTGAATTCACAAAAGTTCATCATATTTGGTATGTCATGTTTATTTAAAAGAAACGTGCCTTGCTTGGGTTGAACGACGGTTACTAAAAAATAGTGACCGTAGTTGAACTGAATTAGGGACAGTGTATGTTCCCCTCTTTGTTGTAGTTGTACAATAGAGTGTCAATCACAGCTGAATATGTGTCGCGGCGTCAACACTTTGAAATATGTGGACGAAACGTAATATACCGTACGCTATATTGTGCACGAGATTGACCAAACTCTGTGCTTTCGACAAGAGGTATAAACCAGGTTTACCGTAAACTGCGTGTACAATAAGAAATTTACCGCATACTGTAAGAGTGGGGACAGGGGGTGAGTGACTGGTACAGGATACAGGAAATAAAAAAAAGCATCTTTGTACAAATCATGGATGAATAAAACGGTTGATTACATTTTAAATCTTGTCCATGGCTACAAATATACGTTTTTTATTTGTTTGAATTACAAAGTATTAAAACATTGGACCACAGTCTACGAAAATATCCCCTCTGTACCATGTACGGACACAAGATTTACCGAACTCTGTACCGTTCACGATATTTACCGTATACAAACTTGCACTGC